TTCATAATATATATAAATATTTTATAATATTTATAAATATTTTATATTATAAATATATAATCTGAAAATTTCTTCTTTTATTATTTCTTGTATGGCTATGTAGTAGTTGGTTAATTCGCTTCAGTTTTACAATTAAAAAGGGGTCAATATGAATAAATAATTATGATATGTTTTTTTAATATATTTTTTAATATATTATGTAATGTAAGTAGAGTTACTGCATTAGTTTAAGGATAAACTTGGGAAAAATTTGAACCTTATGTTACTTGCAAAAAAGTTTGACTCTTATGTATGGTGTATACGGTACGATATGTAATAAAATGTTTAAAAGTAGCAAAAATTGTGTAAAGTTATTATACCAGATTGGCGCGAAAACGAAGATCACATAAAGTGATAATTTTTCCCGATTTTACATTTGCCTCATTCCAAATTTTTTTGGACCTTGATTTTATCTAACTTTTTGTTTTATTTGTAATTTTTTCAAATTTTATTCAAATGTTGCGCATACTCTTTTATCTTTGGTTTCCTTTTCGTCAAAGCTTAAGGGTTTTTGATCAAAATTTTAAACAACATGAAGATGTATCACTTTATCTGATCTTTTCTCTTTTGCTTTCATTATTTAGGGCGACGCCGTCGACATGGCAAGTTTAATGAAATATGTAAACAACAATTTCAATCAATTGCCGTCGTATTGCTTCGCTGAGGAGAACCCCGACCGCTGCCAGGCAACGTCTACCGAGGAGATGCACGCGGTACCTTTAATCTCGCCCAAAGAGACTCTTCGCGACAATAACACGCAAACGCCGCTAGTGAGGTGTTCGGTAAGGCCGCCACCGGGTTTCGCACCTCTCGGTGAGCAATCCGATCTGGTTGAAAAGTCAACAAACTTCTGCAATGGTCCCTCGGAAAACACGCTGGCTTTCGGCAATACGGAAGCGACGACGAATCCTTTCTTGTACGATCAGCAACCCGACATAATTTCCAACGAGGTCGCAAAGTCATTGTTCGCACAGATATGGGAGGAAAATTTACATCTACAATTGAAGTTAACTAAAATGTTCGGTGAAATGCTTGAATACACTCCTCTCAGCAGGATCGTATTCGACAATCACATGAAGGTTCAGCGTCAGTTGAATAAAATTATGAAGAGTTTCGAGAAAGCGATGACATTGAATAATGAACAGTTTCTCAAGTCGCCGTTCAATCCCACGAAGGAAACAACACCGAACGACGTCGGTTCAGCGCAGAGGGCACCGATTAGCTCGACTAGTGAGGTCTTTAAGAATCAGAGTGTCGCAAGCTACGCGAATACTTTATCAAATTTGTTTAACGTCGATGCTCAAACGCGCTGGAGTCAGTCTGATCAAATCAGTCTACATGTTCAAGTGCCACCGACCACAGCAGTCTCGACCACAACATCTTCGACGTTTAACAACTACCAATTATCGGCCGATTCTTTATTTTCGAGTCAGGAGAGCGATAATGTTTCCCCCACACAGTTGACAAACTCCAGTCTCTCCAATAGCGATCGTGCTTCCTTAGACTTTCTTGGTTATAAGAACACCGAGTACGCCGGTGTGATCAAAGAGACGAATCCCTTCAAACTTTATATGACTGGTAATACGGAGATGCCGACAACACCGGAGAGTCAACAAACAGCGACTAGCTACGATTCAGACTCCGGCTATCTCTCTGTTCAGAATTTGCAGAATCACATTTCAAATATTGCAACTTCGAACGTTGGTGCAAACTTTCGCGCGATGAACAATGATTTTGCATCGGCGGGACACGTTAATGTCAACGGCAAGGAGAATTACTCATCGAGAATCGTTTACGAAGCTGGCCCAGTTATGTATAACACGCAGAAGCAGCAAGCGAACACAGATGCGTGGCAAAGTACCTGCAACAATAATCTTAACGTTCCTCAGAATGTGTCTGCGAATTTAGGGCGAGATGGCACGGAGCTGCTTCCGTCCTCCGTAAATAGTGTCGCTGCTTTGCACTTGAAGCAAAATGATATTTTACGCAACGACGAGAGTTATGCCACTCGACCACCGATCGATTGTATGCCGCAAGACTCATCGTCGATAATAAACGAAGAACTGAACTATTATCAGCAAGGTCAGGCGAATATACCGCGGCCCGTCTCGGCGCGTGCGTGGAGACAAGTCGAGATTCCGGAACACTGGATCAGCTCCAAGTTCCAGAATAAAGTCCGTTTACAGGATTGCAAGGAGAACTGTACGGCTGGCACGCAATTGACGCCGGTCAATTCCTCTCTAATGCCTTTCCAAGACTGGAATTATAACATCAGACAATCAGCATTTCCAAACATGAAAGGAACGATCGATCCTCACGCTTTTAACAACAATAACAAAGAGAAATTGATGGATGCAAACGTGTATCCTTGGAATATTCTTTACAATCCAATTTCTAACATTGGCAGTATTTTTTTATTTCAGAAAATCGGTATGTATGATTCAGTTGATTGATTCTGTACATAAAAGTGTTAATTTTTTTTCTGTATTAAAATTAATTATATATTAGAATTTAATAATTATATGTAATTAATAATATTTATTGATATTTCAAAAATGAATTTTCACAGAGTCAATTGAAAGCATATCATTTATATTTCACGTCGACCGAGAAGGTTGGATGTTGGTAAACGAATTTATGGAAACTTTCACGAAATTCAAATCGTGCACTAAGTTTATCGCAGCGTTAGAAGCGATAAATATAAAAATTGCATTCAAAGAAATTGAGAGAACCAAGTATCCAGTCCAATTCTCACAGCTTGATAGGTAAATTTGGAATATTTCAAATATATGTATATTCTATATAAATTATTAATTATTGAAGCAATTAATAATATATATTATTCTTAACAGTACCTGATATTATATATAAGATAGTACTAATTATAATTTTATGTTTCTCTCTTCTTTAAAATAATATTTTTAATGTAAATTTATATTATTTCAGTTTTCCTTTAAATGGAGTTTCAAGGGATTCCGAAAAGCGCATTAGCGTGATTACTTTGATTTCGTTGCACAATGTATTGTCAGTACTACTTAAGTTAAAGATAATCTCGCGCGAAGAAGTTGATGTTGTACTTAATAGAAATGAATTTCACGATGATTCCATTCTTCGCAAAATATGGGTGAGTATTTTTAACATCTAGATCTTCTAATGAATTTTGATTACTGCTTCGTTAAAATAAAAAAGGATGTATATATATTTTATTAAAGGAATTAATCATAGAATTTTTCTTTATCATCATGAAAGAGATGACAAGTGCTCTATATAAAAACTTGGAACATTTTTAATTTCAATTTTTAAAATTTATTTTTTTATTTGTTTTTATTTGTTTTAGACGCTACTGTTCACTTATCGTGAGTTCAAACGACGCATTGAACAATATGTAAATTGCAGAATACATATATGAAGTATGAAATTAATATCTAATGGTTTGACGAGTCTTGATGAGTCTTGACGAGTATATACAATAATGTGCAAGTTTTATTTTTGCTTTTTATTTTATATTTTGAGATTTTGTGTGTAAGGGAAGAAGCAATGACATTTCTGTTACTTTTCGGAAATTCCAGTAAAAATGTATTCAGTTCGCGTAATCTATTTTTTTCTCTTATTTTTCATTTTTCTAAGCATTAAAAATTAATTTTGCATTTGCAATTAAACAGCAATGACATTGTGTGCAACGAATGGATAAAAAATTAAATAAATTGAATATACATGTGTTAAAAAAGATTTGTGATTTATCTGTACTTATCTACCTTACATTATATCATGATAATGAGTTTATCATGATAATGAAATATTCTAAATATACAAAATCTTTATTACAAGCATTTTCTTTTTGAAATAAATATTAAAATATTTGATTTTTTAGTCTATATATTTATAAATGCGTTAAAATTTTTTCATAATAATTGTAATAAATAAATAAATATTTGTTATAAATTTATAAGGAAGTTTTATTTAAGTAGAGATCTCTATAAATGTAAATATTATTGATAGAAATTATTATAGAACATATACAACAGACTATTTTAAAATTTACTCTACTTTTAAATTCAATTCGTATTATTTTGTTTTACTTATATCAAAAATTTAGCCTAAATATTGAATTTGAATTGAAGTATTTTAATTTGCAATCTTAATTTTAAAATACAAATTTTTCTCATTTTGAAATATTCATTCAAAAGGAGGAAGTTTATTCTCGATATCTCGACGTCTATACATTCGATATATTTCTAATATGGCATCCAGCAGACGATCCCGATCAAGGCACAGTGAGTTCGCGGATCGACAACGTTCTGCGATTTTTCTGTAGGGTTTTTGTAATTGATTGGATTTTCTGACGTGAAAAAATGGCTGAGGGCGGAGAAAAGCTAACGGGTTTGGCGAAACACTTCAATAGCCAGACTATGCATGGCAGAGCAAACGTGAGTGGTTTAACCTCGAAATTGTTGCAAGTGCTGACATTTGAACGAAGCTTTGGAGCTTCTCTATTTATCTTTGAATAGACTTTTGAGTGTTTAATTAATTTTTCAGGTAACGAAGGCGACGTACGTTGGTCTAGGACTACTTGCCCTATTTCTCTACTTGAAGCCGAGCAAAAAGACGTAGTTTCTAGACAGATATTGCAGTCAAGTTATGTAATAATGATACGTTGTATCATACGATAATATTCTTCAGATTCTTCAAATAAATAGCTAAATATTTTTTTTGTAAATTATTTTGTTTGTTGCTTAATACTAGTTCTCTTTGTGAGTGCTGGATGTCATCACACATGTCACTAACTGAGAACGTATAATATAATTGTTGCACTTAGCGATTACAGCTGTTTTCTATACATTGCTTCATTTTTCTGCAGAAATGTAAAATAGAATTGGAAAAGAAGTTATTTTTTTAAAGAAATTGTCGATAAAGCTGTAATATTAATGATTGAAATTGTTGACAAAGCTGTATCAATGATTAAGTAACATGTATTCTGTTTTTATCGATGTATTCCATCATATATTTGTCAATTGACATATTAAAAAACTACAATTTAATCTGATTTAACGTATTATTATATCTTTTATTTAATATTTAAAAAAATTACAAATATAAAGAATACTTTAGTATTCTAAATATCAAAACTTTCTGTAACAATATTTTTCTAGATTAAGATCATTCTTCTATCATGTGAACATATTTTGTTAAAAGGGGCTGAATGATATATTACGACTCATCGGTTGCTTGAATTTGTTTTATGTACAATAAAATTTATTTAAAGCACATTGGAGTGAGAGGAAATACATTTACATGAGTGACGAAATGTGTTTCTCGTTGCTTTAACTTAAAGAAAGCTACTGACTTACATGGAAATAATTTGTACGATATGCTTTGGCAGCGATGGAATAGAGGGTCTGGCTGGAATAAAGATCTAATTTAGAATTATGATTCTTTTTACAATGAAAAAGTTTTATTTAGATTTCGGAAAGAATTTATCTAAGTTTTTGTAAGAGGCTACATTTTTACATTTTTATTTGTTAATGAGATATTAAATATATAAAGAAAAAAAAATTTTTTTAATATATTTAATAACTTCAAAATTAACTTCTTATTTTGAGAATTTGGAAGTAAGATAATTTTATTGCCAATTTTATTTTATCCAATTTTTGTAAAATGTAAAAATAGTTCAGAACAGCCGAATTTGTGCCTTCTCCCAGCTATTGATCACTATTACTTGACAATTCCTAATAATATAAGTCATATTTACAAGGATATCGAGACGAGCGGTAGAATATCTTAAATACTGTATTTGCAAGATGGTAGATTCGTATAATATTTATATACAGGTCGCTACGTATTAAGTATATGAGTATACATATATTTATACGTTTCGATAGAAATTCTATGACTAGAATGACGAATCTCTTTTTGTTGTATATCTACGAGAGCGTTTTGTTTCCCTCTGTGCTTAAATCTAATTTCTCCTTCCCTTCTTTCTTTAGCAAGAATATATCAAGGAAAGTGTTAAAGTAAACGTATTTTACAATTATCCGAAGACTGGATTACAATAGAAACGCCGAATTAGACAGTCAGACACCAGTTGACATTGTCATTCTCTTATCGAATGAAGATTATTATACAAGCTATAATAATTTCCGTAGTAGAAGGAAAGAAGTACTTAAAGTCGACATATGAGTATCCGGTGGTTCGTAAATAGAAATATATTTACAATTCTTACACATTAACGTCTAATTTTTAATGATTCTCACTTTGTTTTTAAAGTATACATATAATATAGATTTGTTCGCTTGAGTGTGTGTATCGCAGTGAATCGTGTGTAATGAATGAATATCTTTTTCAGTGCGAATATTACATTGCACGTTATACGTGGAATTTTAAAAGACTAACATTTATATTTTGAGTTTAATACTAGTATTTATATTTCTTTTCAGTGCATTTGTTCTTTTCAATTTGCCTTAATGTCGTCCTTTCTTTCAACTTTACACTCTTGAATAACGATAATATGTACAGTATAATTCTCTTGATTTTTCACTTCATCGGAAGAAATTTAGAAAAATACAGAAAGTTCAGAAAATATATAGGAAATTGAATTTATTTTTTTCATTTTCGATTCATCCTCGTTTTTAATAAAAAATGTAGCCATCTAAATCGTTTCAAGTCTCAGACTACGCTTAAAGACATCTGAAAGATTAATGACATCTTTAATATTTCTACTATATCTGGAAAAGATCGGGGCCTCTCTTCAAAGTAAGGCTCGAAGCGGCTGTTTTATCGATTTTGCAGTAGCGGTAATGGAAACTCTCTTGGTCGATCGATGAATATATCGCTTGAGAGTGATCAATACGTAAGTGCAATAGTTTGAGGATGCAGGACACAAGATTCCTCTACGGCTGGGACAAAAGTTCTTCCGAGGAAAATGTCGCACTGTTGGTTTCTGACTTTGGCGAAATCCAATTTATTTCCTGGAGAGAGTTAAGTACGTGACCGAGTCGCCGGAAGTTTGCAGAACTTCCTTGCTGGTCCGAGTTGGTGGATTATTTTTTAACTTCTCTTCTCTTAACACTTCTCCAATGCAACTTTCAGTCTTGCAACCTTCGCTAGCTTATCTCGTTTACGAGATTTCTTAACATAGTAACTGAAAGTCTCGAGTTCTCATAAAACATACAGAACGTTTCAGAGCGGAAAGATCGTCCTTTAAATATTGAATAGCGGAAGAATTAAATTAGATGAAATAATAGTTGCTTTCAAGGCGACATGTACGGATTAGTACAAGATTCAAAATTTTCCGTATTCAAATTCTATGTGGTTGATAAATAACAAGATTTTGGTCTTCGATTAATTTAGATTTTAGCTTTAATATAAGATTAAAATTGTCAAGATATTTAATAAAAATTAGAAATTTATGAGATAAAAAACACGATTTTCCTGTCGAAGAAAAGGATATTTAAATTTGTAATGTCGTCTTGTTTGCAATATATTATTCCAATAAAATTGAGAACTGTGCGCTTTTAATGAGCTATTCACATCATTGCAACGGAGTTTCCAAGCATATGATATTCTGCTTGAAAGATTCAATACCAGTCTTATGTCATGAAGAAGAGGAGTCTCTTATTATGCTTAATCTATTAATTAAGTTAAAGTCGCTATATATATCTTTGATTGACAGTGAAAAAAAAAACAAACTTATAATCGCGGACGACGGAAGCATTATATACGAGCGATCAGCAGAATTCTGATCAAGTGTCTGTTCAAAGCGCGGCACCAAGAGTTTCTTTCTTTATCGTTCGCCTAGATCGCTTTGAAGCAATATGGAATTTTTGCGGAATCACCTGAAAAGTCATCGCTGCAAGAAACGCAGTCTTTCTAAACTCGTCCGCGGCGGGCTATGCGCAGGGATTGTTATCCTTAACGATCTTTTTTCTTATATCGTAGTCGTGCCGTCCCGCGGGATTGCAACGTCTGAGTACGAGCGGGAGGATTGGTCTGAGCACTTCCCGAGGGAACAATAATATCGACTATCCACCGTAGCGCGGAATCGCCGTCTCTTCCATTTATCGTTCCATCCATTCTGACCGCTGGATGTCCTGGACATTTCACTAAGATGATTTCGAGACGAAGGATATACGCGGAAAATATTAACATCAATTATATATATTGCGCATCGCAAAACGATCATTTTTTTTGCACAATCCTTTTTTCGGTTTATGGATGTTTCAAATTTCTGAACTAGAATTCTCGGTGGGATTCTAGATTGGATAATAAAAATGAAGAGCCACATCAATCGTATCTATTGTAACACGAAATAGTCCATCTATTTCACGCTTCATTTCTTCTGAATTTCTTCCCGTTTCAGTTTTAATCAAACGATGTTCCAATGATAAATAATTCTGAAAAATGCTAAACACAAAAGCAATACTGATTATCCTTCGCTTCATTCGATCCTTCTCAATTTTCTCAATTTTTTCAATTTTAAGCAGCGCTCCAGCTGAATTATTGATTGGGTATCATAGATTACAATGTAAAACTTATTTTTCTTTTTATTTCATCAGTCAAGGTTTTTCGATAACCAAAGCAGCTAATTTTCTGGCGGAATAACAGATATAAAAAATATTAATACTCGTTATCCACCGCCGCTGGATTTTTCTTTTCACTATTTCTGATTAATGAAAGCCCTCGACATTTGATTGGAACACTCGACTGATTTCTAATTGAATAATAAACAGTGGTTGCTGTCTCACTACAGCGTGGAATCGCCGTTCTCTCTCTTCCAACTATTTCGGCCATTCGACACTCTTGACATTTGACTAGGACTTCTCGCTGGACTCTTGGCAGGATAATAGACGCAGGGGCTGCCACTTTTCAAGCTCTGCCTGGTGCCGCCGTTGGACACGTGGACGTTGTTATTGAAGCTAATAGTGTTGGCGCGGTGGAGGTGGCCGTGATGCCTGACCGAATTCCTCAGCTCGATGTTCGTCGTGTTGGTGACGACCGACTCGTCGTAAGTCTGGAATTCCGGGCTGTCCCGACCGGGCCCGAACAGTTTGGCCGAGCAGAAGAGTTTGAGGAATATTCTCTTGAACTTCCGGCCGAAGATCACGTAGATGATGAAGTTGATGCTGCTGTTGATGGTCACCAGCAGATTGCCGGTTTGCACCATCCATCGCGGCGGCTCATCGATGAATGTCTCGTGGACGTTCGAGGCCAGCGGCAGGACGTTGCAGATCAGAAACACGACCACCACGCACAGCAACATCGTCGCCAGGCCGATCTCACGACGCTGATGACGCGATAACTGCTGCAGGTCTCTATTCGCTTTTCTGACCTGGAAATTGACATACGCACAAAGTGTAAAAGATAACAAATGTGATTATGTAAGCAATTATTGTAAATTATACACGCTAATATTTATATTTATGCCAGCAATTATCAAAATTCACTGAAAAAGAGAATAGGTGTTATCCTTTTTTATATTTTTCTGAAAGAACAAAAATATTATAACATTATTCACATCTAGATTATATTAAACTATTAGCAAAAAATTATATTATTTATAAGAAAATGTAAAATATTTTCTTATCAAAGAGAGATTTATATTTTTAAGCAAGAAAAACATCACAACTTTCTCGTTAATTCTACGATTGCCCATTTTGCTAATTTTATTATGATTTGCTCGCTAGCGACATGTGTTAAAATATTTCACATCAGCACTTTGTAAAGAGTTAATTACGCAGAAAATTATTCGAAAAAAAAACAGACAAGTTGAAGAATTCAGTCCTACTTATTTCCTTGATATCGGCTAATTTAAAGTTCGTACTGCATTCATAATTACGACTTTTTGCGCATTAAGGATTTGCAAAGACACAGTTAAGAATATTTCGTGTTGGATTCTTGTCACATAACTTTCTGGTTTTCTGTAAAGGTTTTACGTAAAGTCGAAGAAAATTAGGTCAAACGCGATGAAAAAATGAATGAAAAAGGACATTTGATAGCAGACATTAATCGGACTATTTATTTCGCAAATAACTTATTCCAATTTCAATTTAAATTATTCGTTTATGAATTTACGTAAAATATAATATAGTAAAATATAAAATAGTTTTAAGTCCTGAAATAAACAATTTAATTAAGCAAATTTATATTTTAATACGTGAAAAATCTTATATGCATTATAATAATTATTTATCAATACTATAAAAAAATTATTCACATTTATTTCGCTTTGACGACATACATTTTATCGTTTTTATTCAACTTTAATACAACTCTATAAAAGAAACAGATATTTAATAAGCGTCAATAGCGTTTTTTAACGAAAATTATAGTTATAAATTCATTCATAATTTATTCGCAAGACTAATAATGCGAAATTGTCGTATTGTAATGATTAATGAAAAATCTTGAGAACGTTTTCCGATGTTAAATTCTCAAGTGTCTGTCACTGTGATACACGATTAATAAAAAGTCATGACAATTTTCGAATAGCGTGGAAAAAACGTTGACTGATCGACGTCTTCGAAAAAACTTGATGACTAATTATATGATTGACAAAGGATTAATGAGCGAGTTCTTATTTTGTCAGTACGCGACAAAACCAGCATCAATTTTTTACACGTTAGATAAATGAGAAGAAGAAAAGCACGACAGTCATATGATTAAATTAAATTTATATTATTAACTGTATCGATCTATATGTAGACAAGAATGTTTGAAGAGAAAATTGAAAAACATAGAGTCAATAAATCCCTGTAACTAGTATATTAAAAACAAATATGCACATTTAATTAAATTGGATATTTAAACATTAATCAAATAGATTTATAAAATGCGATCAATGTAATCACTTTTTTCAGATTAGTTTGATTTTTTGAATAAACATACTTTTTGAAGTGAAGAAATTGCGAAAAACAGAAAATTCTTGGTGTATCGAAATTATGGCTTTAACAGCTCCCTCGCCGCGCAATGTAAAAAACGTGAATAGCTCCCCGGATATATTGAAGCTGTTGTTCATTTTGTGGCGAATCGCGTATTATTTCAACGCGAAGTTATGTCAAAGATACATCGTGTTTGCAATAGTCCCAGGCGTGACGTAGTTTTAACTGTGTCTGACCTGCTTTTTCTTTCAGATTTACGATCGCTCTTCAGCGAAGCCATATCTCGCGACGAAGTCTGCGAGATATCAGACTCTTTGTCTTTTGGATTTAGTCCCGAAATTTTCAATGCGAAAACATCTTGGTACTATGAAAAGATTAGTTTGCCTAAAATTGATATTAAAATCATCTGCAAAATTTTATTAGCAAATATTTACGGTAAATGATTGAATAAGTTGATTGTTTTAATTATAAAATAGGGAAAATTGTTGCCTCATCTGTAAATTAAACTCAAGTATTTAATTTCTCTTGCGTTCGACGTTAATCGTAAAATTCGATAAATTTCAAGTTAATTTTGATCGTCATATAATATTGATACTTCAATCGTTTTTTAAATACAAACAATATTTAATTTATTCGCTTTAATTATATTTACACGTCAATATTGAAATTTATATTTTTATTTAGTTTATAATTTAGTCTGCATTACTACGCGCAATACATTTTAACGGCACAAAATATTATTTTATTTGAAAAATAACTTTGGAATTTACATTACACCTTTGATACGGAGATCCGCTCGATTCTGTGTAAAAGCTGCCAATACATATCTCATCTTTCACGATTGACAGAGTGCTACTTCACACTAGAATCTTTGTGCAATAATATTTGATCCTCGCAGGGGGGGGGGGTGTCAAGGAGAGATGTTCGATTTGCGCATGAATGTCAGAATTTTCAGACTCTTTATGCCCGGACGTATAATATATTTTACATCGTACATATTTCGTCTCGGCTGTTTCGCGGCTCCCCTCGCCCACGCCGTGTTTGGAAGCGTATAAGAAAACGCTGAATAAATGCCAGACTAGCTGCATATTTCACAACCAGCCAAATGGAGTGGAACGCGAAAGAAGAAGTTTGGAATCTCGTATACGAGAATGATTAATATTGATCATCTAATGTAATTTTCAGAAAAAGAGTTTAAAATAATTGGAATAGTTGCAACGATAAAGTAAGTAAAAATGTGATAAAAACATAGTAAAACATAGTTGTATCAAATCTGTTTGCAAAGCACTTGCTTCAAGATTAATATATAATGGTAAAATTAATGATTTATGTGCGATTAATAGAATATATAAAATTTATGGATCTAGATAATTTAATATATTAATTATTTCCATAATGCATTTTAATATATTAAACATACTTATAATTAATTGAATAGATACGCGTGAAAGCGTAGTAATTATATTATATTACGTTGTTTTGGAGGGAATTCGCGAATCGATAATAATATGTGTACACCAGATGAAAGTGATTTAGATTATTTCACACCTGTTTAGAATGAGATATATATTTATAATAAATAATCTGACATATCTGATTTCTAATTAAAAACAAAATTAATTTATCTAATCGCAAAGAACTGAGATAAATGGACTAAATGGATAAAACTATAAAACAAGGAACGTAAGAAAAAAGACAAACGTTTCCAAGTCGATCTTTAAAGCAAAGATAAAAAAAATTCCCAATTTCGTATTTCGGTTAATTTATTTCAAGTTGCCTAGTTCTTTGCTGTTGCGACACCCTGCTTTCAGCGCCTGATTTCACCGCTTCAACTTTCAAAGTTCGGAAGCAAGTTACGTACTTGTCTGCTAAAACAGTTACGACGACAAAGTGGCGGAGCTAATTATTGTTAAGACTTCGCGCCGCTACGATGAATTATTATGCGCGTCGTGTGTCGCCGAATTGCCGCGCGTTACCTCGGATTACCGAATCCGGTTCACTTGGTACGCTCTTCGTGTGATGCGCACAGCAAATTATTAATAGAATTATTATCTACGCTAGAGAATCTGGGGCGAAAGCGTGTAACGCGAATCACGTCTCTTTGGGAATATCGCTGTGTAAATAAAAGCGGGGGCGAACGGCCTTAGTTTGCGCAAGTTTGTTCCATGCTCTTTGTTTTGCCGAGTGTTAACGGGGTGTCGAGTCATGTTTCTCACTCTCATTGACAAACGACAATGAGTCGCTTTGGCATTGCAGGAAATTAGTTTCGAACATGGAATAGAGTGTCAGCGTAATGACGACAAATTATTTAAAAAGATCATGAAAACATTTCTAAAATATACAAATGTGCATTAATATTTATATTCCGATCGGGATTCTCTATTGAATAATAAAAACAAAGGAATTAATTATTTATTCGCCTGGTTTACTCGCGATTTCTCGCAGGAAGGGGAGAAACGTCAGAAAACTTCAATTCTAAGTGAAGAGATTTGACGACTGCTTCCATTTGCCGCATGAATATTCTCACAAATCGCGTATTAATGTTCGCTCTGATCCGCCTATTCGCGTGAAGTCCTCGCGGAAGTAGTTCCGAAGAAGATACTACCGAAAATCCTGATCCCAGAATTAAGGACAGAGTTTGTGGACTCTAAAGTTTCGTGATAAGGAAATGTCGAGGGGAATTGTTGTCTTTCGACAATCTCTACTTTGTAATCTCAGATACCCTCAAGCTGTGGGAATTCAACGGCCGATCCTGTGGCTGTATCTTATCGCGGCGGATATTATATTAATTTTATTTGGAAATATAGACTTTGTACTTTACGAGAGAAAATGTGATCTTCATCGTAGAAATTATTAAAGGTTGTAAGCCTTTTCTTATTTTAATTTGTATAGTCAAGTTTCGATCATTTTAACTCTTCAGTGTTGTTTTCTTATCGAGCAGATTGTAAAAGAAATATATTAATAATATTATACTTATATCTTTATACTATACTAATAACTTTATACACATTTTCTAATTAATTTATGTAATTAATTTAATTTCTACTTTTATCTAAAAACACAAACTATGTATCTCTTTTCCAAGAGGAAGTATTTCTATTTTATAAAAATTATATAAGATTGCAAGAATAATATTCATAAATTTAAACGAATAATTATATTAATTTTTATCTCTCTTTGTTATTTCCGTCAAATTGATTACGAAACAATTGTTATGTTTTTGCAAGCCTTTATATAAGAACACAAAAATCTTTTCGCAATATTTCACAATAACTTTTGATTGCAAATGTTTCACGTATTTCGCCGGAGGTGCACGATGATATTGCTTATGTCTGCAATTGCGCGGTCCACGTAAATGCCACGTGCGGAAAGAAACCGTCTGTGAATTTCGCTGCCCCTATATAGGTACGTGCTCGCGAATTCTGAGCGCGTACCCGTGTATCGCATGTATAGGGGCTTATACAGTCTAAGTAACTTTATTGGTTTCGTCGTCGCGGCTTATTATTCGTATTTTTATGTCGATCCCGCCGCTTATCGATGCCCCACGTTACGCGGCACGAGCTTATTGCGATACCAGCCCGGCCACCCTGCTTCACTCCTTCTTTTTCTTCCCCTTATCGCGATCGCTTGCGAGTCCTACAAAGAAATTTTAATAAAACGGCGCAGTGATGAAAAATATTAGTTCTAAACTTTTTTAAAACTCGCTGCCACTGACACGCTGTTCGATATTCCGCGTTTAATCTGTCCTTCCCTCGTGTTTTATTTTGTTTTATCGATGCTTCTTTTATCTTTTCAATCTAGAATCAACTTGACAGAATTACAAATGGTGCTACGTCTTTGCAATAATTAATCAATTCTAATTGTAATGAATAATTGACTTTTAGATTTCGTTGCAGTATTATCGTTGCATTGTTTCAACGTCACATAATATTCGCAATTATTTTTCAGTTGCCGCAGTATTTTATATTCGATTTGATAAATCAAGTTGCAAATAAAGTGCATGCGTAAAATAAAATGTTATTTCTGCGAGATATACTATTTTCCACAAAATGTTACTGCGACAAAATATTACTTTAGCAAGATAATCCGGTATCGAATTTATGATGTTGAATTTTTGATGTTATACTCACCCGTCGATAAATGGCCATGTTGAAAATCACGAGCGCGATAAACGGAAACATGTAGTATACGAAGAAGTACATCCAGTGAATGTACAGAGTAACGTAGTACTCGTTGCTTCTCAATTCGGTCGGCGAAATGCAGTACACTGTGACATTGTATTTCCAATGCCACTCGGTGTACACTTCGATCTCCCAGAATCTAAATGAAATTCAGAAGTTTACTTTTTCATCAACTTATGTAATAACTTTTTTATCCTTAATATACGTATTTGATCGAGAGAGAGAGAGAGAGAGAGAGAGAGAGAGGAGGGGGGGGAAAGGCAGGATAATTAAAAGAATTTTTTTTCGTCTTTTCCACTTTTTCCATAAATATTTTACTATTCGAAAATGCAGTGAACCAAGAGTTGAGAAAACTAATTTTTATTAAAACTTTTTTTTATTAGATATCAATTTTATAATCTAATATCTTCATTTATTGCGACTTAATGAGAAAAGGAATAAACATAAGTACTCACTTGGGTAGATTGTAAATCCAGGCGAAGATCACTATAACCACCACTGCTAATTGAGCCCGTCCATAAGTGCAGAAGGATCTGGCTTTCAGCGGATGGCAGACCGCGATGTATCTCTCCAAAGTTACCGTCAATGTAAGGTACACCGTTACGAATTGCGCTATGCAGGACAGCGGGTACAAATATCTGATGATCTTCGGATAGATAATGAACTTATAGTCGAACAGTAAGTCCGTGTACGTGTAGATCGACGGCAGTCCGTAGATTAATACCTGTGGATGCATATGTAGCACATTTACAACAACGATAAGAGTCTCTCATATCAAATGTTGGGCTTTAATCCTGGCGTCGTTCGGATTCGATTTTTGCAATATTTAGTGAGTGGTAAATTGAAATGTAAATTAAAGTTCCATCGAAATAAAATTAAATGTCAAATAAGCTTCCGTCATTTTCTCGCATCTTAATTTTGCGAGTATATTACAAGCCCTTTTCGACATTTTTCAATCTTGGTGTATTTATAGAAATATTCGCTTTAGTCATTTCGTTTTTTGCGAAAATTATTTTTACGCTATTTTTCTATCAACAATTTCTTTGGCCGCTATTTATAGCAGATTTATGCTTGCGACGTTTGATCGACAAGTACAAATAGTTCGTTGATGAAGGAATCCTGAGTCGAAGGAGTTCGATCTAGATGATTAATTAATAACCGGCGAAAGGTGGTTTACGTAATGCGATCCCGAGAGTCTTGGTAGGATCTTGCGTATGAGCTTTTTGTGCCTGCGGCCTATCAGTTTTACCGGAAGCTCCTGTTTACCGCAGCTGCGTCAATCTTGTTAATCTTGACTTTATCCGCGAAACCGGGAAACCATGTAGCGCTGTACAGCGAAACTTATTTGCATAAGCTTGACGCGTGATTCACATTATTCTGCAATGTGCTGGCTGACGATACATGTTCGGCAATATTAATTCTTCTCTCTTGCATCGAGAATTTACTTCACTAAAAATTACGAGAATAAATTGAATTAACTATATTATCAATTCTTTGCTATATCATCAGTTTATTTCTGCGACATATTTATAGTCAATATTATTTTCTCGGATTATTCCAGATCTACTGTAATATATTTCGCAAACTTTTCTGACGCATTTAATGCCAAGTGATTTTTGTAAAATATCTAGAACATACTTGTTAACATTTAGTAATGTACATTATAAAATTTACGGGGATTATTTCGCCTCTCGTTAATAATCAGCTTTTCTCTTTACATTATGTTTGGATTTGTATAAAGTCAGCAAAAGTTGTACTAACGTATGTATATGATCGAGGCAAAAATATCAGGTCGGAGGTAAAGCTACGAGTTACATGCTTAGAAAAATATAATTTATATTGCATGAGAGAGATAAACAGAGATGCATTTTAATAAAAAATTCGTCTGTGGCGCAAATTTACCGTCGTGTAAATTGCGGGATTAAGAATGAAATTAAACCGAGAAGTTTGCCACCTGATTATAAGATCGTAACAGGTGGATTTTATGAAAATTGAATTTTAACAGTCATTATTAAACGTCGAGCTATTAATTTTTTCGACCCTCAAGCTCCATTAAGAATCTTAACCTCATTTAATATTAAAGATTAATTAATTGTCAGATTCATACCTCGCAGGTAAGTAGAAAAACATTTTGCACTAACTCATTAGTTAAAAGTACCGATAGGAGAAATGTCTCGGTTGAAACAACGCTTTAATGAGAATCTACTGTCGCCTACAAAATGTTCATTAAATGCACGAGATTATATGATATGTCCACGTAAGTTCGTAAATTTATGCATTATTTTCGATTAAATTTTTTGCCTGTTTTGAGCTTCAATGCTCACGAGTGGATTCTATCAATTAAGTTTTAAATATTCAATATTTAATATTAAATATTCATAAAAATAATTCTTTAATTAAAATTCCATTAAAATACAATTCTCCTTAAAAAAATTAATAAATAATAAAATTTTATAATATATTAACAGCGCTTTTAACATAGTAAACGCTTATTTATTTACAAAATTTTCAATATTGAAATATAAACGCATTTTTTTGTGTTTTATTTTCGGATTTGTGATAGTTTGTGAATATTCTGCACAACATTCGATTAAAAAGGTCAAAATCTATTGTGTCACAAAAATTGACTCGTATCAACTTCAACATGAATAGCTATTTCGAAAGTCGTTAATAAAAGCCTAGATAACGGTAACAAACCATCATGATAAGCCCTTCGGAATGCTGCTCGATGGTGCAAAAATGTAAATCTATATAAAATATTGGATGCTTTTTTTTTTGAAAAATTTTATCTGGCTATAGTGCGTATAACTGATTGAGAGCGACCAGACACGACGACTGTAAACACTGGGTCATCCAGCAGCAATTACGAGGCGTTTTACGATTCCAACGAGAAAGCGTTTCTGGTCATGTGTGCTAATTAAACATTGATTTTCCAATCGGTGGTTTCGCGATTCGTTCAAACGTTCGCAGTTATGTATTTGCGGTTTGCGCAAAGAGAAAGTGCGTGCAAGAAAGTGTACTGTTAAATATTATAAAATTATTTAAAATTTGTAAAAGCATGAAATGGATAAAAATATTCTTGTACGCATATTATACATGGGTTGATTAGTTGGAAATTCATAAATAGATCATATGTACATGGACGCCGTGCATGAAATATTTATCACATATTGATCGTAAAATGAATAAATATGTTCCACTATTACACGATGAGTGAAAAATATCTACTTGATCGTCATCTTTTAAATATTTTTTTGAAAAAAGAAAAAATGCCGATAAAAAATATGTAAAGATAGAATTTGGTATCAATATTTAACATAAAAATTCATTATTTTGCTAAATAAAAAAAATATTGAAATATTTTCTCTAAAAGCTCTTGAAGCAAATATTAATGTTGGTAAATTATATTTTTTACGTCACTTTTTTATAATAAAAACAGAAAATGATTAAACTAACTAGATGTTAACTTTGATCATTTCTTTTACATAAAACGAGCAATATCTATAACACTTTATGACGTTGTAAAATAATTCTACCGTATAATATTTAACTCTCCATTAATGAGAACTCGTAAAAATGTTTCCGAAGTTAAATACACTACCAGCGTTTTTTGCGTGCAACTTCGCCATTTTTCAAAGAATCAGAAAGTAAAGCATCGAATAAATGAACCATTATCTTTTACATTAATTTATTTAATAATCAATTATTTAAGTTCTTGTATTTCAGTCCCTACATTTTTTTGTGACTTTTATGTTATCTTTGTTTCTTTGAAATTTAAATATATTTATTAAAAAGAAAGTGTAGAAAAAAATGTAGAAATAATGCAATACACACTTACCGCGATAATGATCAGCACCGTGTCGCATCTGGCCAGTCCAATTAGCAGATAATTGATGGACGACTTCATCTGCGGCCTCGACAGAATAATCATCGAGATTGTATTGCCGAGAATCCCGAAGAGACCGATCAGGTTGACGAGCAGGCCGTAGACAATGAAGTCAGACAGCCCGTTAGTGTTGATACCTTGATTGCACTCTTGTGGCTCCTCGCTGCTGCCGTTGTTGCTGAAGTTCAGCGCGGACTTGCCAGCATCGTAGTAACCGGAAGCGATAGTCGTCGATATCGAGCTTATTTCCATCGTTCAGCGATTCTCTACTTCTTCGCCTCGATTTTATACTGCCCTTTGATTTTGCCGCCTCTTCACGTTACCATCTTCACCATCAGCTCCTCGTCTATTTCTATTTATTCTTTTCTCGTAACAGTTTTCAATTTTGGCCGAACTCTTGTGTTCTTCGAGTTTCGAAGCTGTAAATCACAACGATCAGATTATGCTTTAGTTATTTTCTCATCACTGTGTTGTTCCAAAGTGATTTCTCTTCTAAACACTTTCTCGCGAAACATTATCTTTGAAATTATTAAAAAATATTATTTGATAATAAATTAATAGAAGTCGATTAATAAGTCGATTATTAAAAATCTGAATTAAAAAGAAATTATGAAAAAAAATTTCGCAGAAGTAATTTTCGATACAAGACGTACGATTTAAAGAATTCAAGATATTAAGTAGTAAAATTTTTCATGTTAGCACAGACTGCTCGTTTCACAGTTTATTCGACTTTTGAGATTTATTTTTCTTGCTGTCTGCATGCATAAACTTTGCTACCTACATGCATCTATACCTAAACATTTTCTTCGAATGATTTAATTTCTGTTGAAACATCGGAAAAAAAACACGCTGGTCTTCCACAGACGATCGATCTGTGTTTGAGAGCTTAAAATCGATGGAATTTCCTCCGCGAAAAGTATGAAATGCTTTATTAAAAAGAAATAATAATCTTTCACCTTCGTTACCAGATATCGATTCGACTTGAGCTTGCGCTGTCTTTCGAAATCGAAAGATCTCCGAATAAGTCCTGGTATCATTACGTCGACCTCCGCCGTATCCAATTTATCTCGTTTTGTGCGTTATCTTCTATCGTGTTTCGTTTGTGGAGAGAATCGAATCGGTTCTATCGGCTGTGTCGCCTAGATAGTTCGGCGTAGATGCTTTTACGATGTATCGCTGTTTTACGACAAACTGCGAGCCGCTTTGCCATCCGAATCCTCTGTCGTAGCGACTTCGACGGAACTCTGCAAACTGGTAGAAAGAAAATACGTTGACTTTATCGTTCTTGAATAAAGAATAAAAAGCAGAATTGTGAATCGTACTCTTCTATCGAATAAAAGAAAAGAGAAATAATTTGATTCATTATTTTAATGACAAAGAAAGGTATATTTATATTCCATATTATGCAATCATGAGAAAAATTTAAATTGATGTAATTGCAACAAGTTCAAGTATTAATGCTGGAGTGTCTTTCTCAATTCTTTTTAATGAGGAAATATTTCTCAATACAAAAAGTTTTATTCGTTAGTTCGAACCTTTTCAATGGCAACTTTTACTCAATTTAATTTTTAATTAATACATAATTAACAATTTTTTGAATGAATAATTGAAATTAAACTTTTTTATAAGAAATTTTCTTTTCTATTGTACTACAATTTTTTTTAGTATTATTATATGTTTTCTTACAAGAGAAAACTGATTGCTGATTGAAAAATATTATAACGGAGTTTCATAGATTTTCGATATTCAATATCTTCTTTTATTTTTAGGTTATCAAGTTTTCTATTATTTCGCTATCATTCATTTGAAATATTTGCTATTGTTGCAATTTAGAACACAAATCGGACTTGTTACAAATTCATCGAGTATACTAATAGACAGCGACGAGGAATCGCCTCTTGTTACTATTAATCGTTCGCCGCAACGTTTACACTCGAGTTTTCGAGGGCGCCGAACTTGATTGCAAACAAATACAGTTGTCTCTACCTAACTACGTTGATAGTGTACACTATAGGAAGCCGTGACGGAAAGTCGTTAAAGGTCTCACGTTTAGTATATATTGGAAACCTCAATCTGAGTAGTCGCGTGAGTTCGTCAATTTACAGCCGAGGAAATATACATTTTGCACACCGAAATCTCCGCAAATAACAGCAATTTGTTTTATCGATCCAGGTTATTCGTAGCCGTCTTTCGTAGGGAGACTTCTCTGACTGGTCCCGCGTCAATTACAATACTACAGTATAATTACAGTACTAGTTGCGCACCTAGTATAATTGGTATGAGAGAATATTTATTGCGAAGAAGACTTAAGTCCAGTTTCGAGAATCTTATTAAAATTGACATACTATGTCAATTTATTTTTGTATTTGATTAAAATTCGTAATATTTTAAAATTCATTATTATACTTTGAAATAAAACGATTTATGTCTTCATATTGCTACGGCACGTGTTTCTGGATCTGTTTGTATTTTGTTTCAGACGGTGACTTGCGATTCTGGAGATGCGAAAGAATGTAAGTACTAAATGTTATTAAAAATATAATTAAAAGAATCTCTTTTGTTATCATTGATGAATGCGAAAGGCAACATTGTAACACAGAGTGAATTTAATAAATCCTAGTATCTTTGTTTTTTTTTGGGACATTATTATGATTTCTTTTCTACATTTACTTATCTTAATTTTACTTATTAAAAAATAATTTTGAAATTAATTCAGCAAATATTTAAATTATATAACAAATATTATTTCCCGCTACACAAATATATTCCAATCTAACGAGTCGGAAATAAAAGTGGATAAACTTCAGACAGACCATGCGTATAATTACTGTATAAATAGAGAATAATTATTTTTCTTCTGCGCGTAATGCTCAGAGTGCAAACCGCGCACTGTTTAATGACGCAATTAAACACGTTTTCCGACACGCGCTCTGCATTAAAAAATATTATAACGTGGATTTTATAATCACAAAGGGATGACTACCGGTTTATAGAAGTAAGACCGTGACGGATTCGACAGAAAAGCGATTACAGAGCTTGCGATGTGTATATTTGTACACATGCATTTGTACGCAATACTGAAAGGCATGGAGGTGCATATGAATACACGTGACACAAGGGTGAATCGATTGTGCTGTTCCACGACTAATCGTATCGGTGACATTCGTGTCCGTTTGGAACGATCCTATAGATTGCATATGCGCGATGCAGGTGTATATCAGTAATTGCGGCATACCCGTTTGATTTCCGCATCGTCGAACTTCCAAGCGGTTACGATTTCCCGTATTCCCGATCGCTTTCAGTTCCATTTGCGACAGTAGTTCCTGCCATTTGTTTCGCAAATAGCAGCAGTTGTCCTCACAAATTTAAGTAGTTACGGATTTCGATACAAAAATTATTTCTTTAACAGCAATTGCGATATTGAATGTTAAGTATGTCAATATTTTGTGTCAGAATATAATGGCACATAAAAGTTTTCAATTAGTTGTGCTTTTCTTTTATTTTGTTTTAATATTTTCGCAGTTCATGTGGTACTTTCTTAGGACAAGAGTTTATAGTTCGATATATTTAAGAGAACAAACATTTCTTTACCAAGAAAATATTTTTAAATTTCAATTTCATGCGACTAAAATGGTTTTCAATGGGTTTCAATAGATTTCACGGAGAAAAACATTTCTTTTCTTTCCTTGAAAAGCGGAAAAATACGCGGAAATCTGACACGAGTGATTCATTATATTGTACGATATCCTAGAAAGTTTCATAAATATCTTTTGACGTATAGAGCAAATTGGGATCACGGAGATCAATTCTATGGATATAGTTCGCTTCGTGGACGCTGTCATCTGCGATGCTGGATTCACACCACTCATCGGGAACCATAGGGGTCCGAATAAATCCCCGGCTGAAAATTGCCCCGCGCTCCCGCTGTTCAGGTATCACTTAAAGTCGAAAACTAATTTGCTCCGGCTGATCTATTCCCGCCGGGCGGCCAACGAAACGGTTCGTCGGTTGACTTATTTTTAAGCCCCCGCCCCCCCCCCCGCCCGCCCGGTAAATGCGTTGTCGGGGCGTGAGAAAATTTTGCGAATCGGTGTTTTTCACATGGTAGTTTCATCGATGTTTTCGGCCGAGTGCTCTTCGCCTTGCGGCATCTTGGCACGTGTCGACGTCTAGGACCGAGATGGCTGGCCACCTCTTTGATAACGTTGCGTAATAGCGATATTTGCGCGCGTCTGAACACAGAAACGCACGCAATCCGCATTTCGCACGAAACATCATACGCGATATGTGCATGCCAGAATAATTTCGCAGCAGTCCTCTCGTGTGTCTATTGCACTGCATGTGCAATTAGTATACTTGGCTTTTGATGTACTAATATTAATTCGCAAAAACAAAAAGATAGATTTGTATATCAAATCAATGCATTATAATATAATGTAGTACAGTATTAATATATATTATTTATTAAATAATAATTGTAGATCAGATTACCTTATTATTACTATAATACTTTTTCTGATATATAATATTATTAGATTATTTATTTATATCAGATACTTTTATATATTCGTCACAAATATGCGAGGAAAAGAAGAAATGATGTCCGGCATACGGAATTATTTTGATTCCCGAAGTTTGTCTTCAGATGATATGGTATGGATGTCACGTGTATTTTATATATAGAATATGTCATGGCTCTTCCTTTCTCTTCATTTCGCCATATCGGCATGAGACCGGAGCAAAAAAAAAAAAAAGATAATATTTCTTTACCCCGGGTAGAAAATGTATTCAGTGAAGTTTTTCTTGCGTTGTGGGAAGCCCTCGTCGAAGAAGTAACTTCTTCTTGGCCTCTGTATTTTTACCTTCCAATTTTTTATTCTGTTTTCTTCAAATTGCGACACGCCGTTGTTAGAAGCGTCGCGTCTTTTTGAAATCATATCTCGTTTCGAAACTTCTGAAACGGTTTTCAAGTGATGGAATTGGAGCGATGATTTATATATATAACAGAAACACACATGATATTTTTGGAAGAAAACTTTCATATCACGTTTTTACTGCGGACATAGACGTTCAAAGTTTTTGAATATTTTCATCCATTTTTATGTATGTCTTAAGGAAATATTTTTATAACATTAAAAAGATTCACATATACACGTGCGTCTCTATGGATTCATTTTATTCCGAAATGAAATTATCCAAGAAAAGGTAAAGTCGCATTGCAGAACGAAAATCGATTGCACAAATGGTAACAAAATTTTCTTCCGGAACGAAACTCACTTCTGTAAAGGGCAATAAAATTTACAGTGAAAAGAAACTATTAACTGCATTAGGCAAATGCGCTGCGCATTGCGCGGAACGATCATGCCAATTAATTTCCTTCTGATATTTTCAATTTCAACGGTATCCTTGTTGCTGCATTAAAATAGTCGCTTTTAAATTAGTTTTTTTTTTGAACGTGTGCAACGAGATAAAAGTATGAGAAAAGCCAAAAACGCGGCGTTGGATCTCGAATACGCTTTCGTGGTGATTTACGAGGGAAACGCGTTAGCATAAAATGTATCCGTCTGCAATTCGCTGTTTGCAGACGACGCATTTTTTTCAGTACGCTGCTGATTAATCCAGGGCTTTATTACGATTCGCCCCGGCATATTGTTCTCTTTCCTTATCGTCTCGTTAAGCGCGATTTCGCACTTTGGCGCCGGCTGGCGATTTTTCGGGTGAGAAAATATATTCCGAGAGACAAAGGCGGTAATATTTTATCTTTGTATCTAACGAAGTAACGCGGTCTACTTTTCCTCTTTTTTTTTATTTTAAATAAAACTGAATTTTTGAAAGACTTTGTGTCAAAAATTGAACGTAAGTAGAGTAATATTTATTTTTAAAAACAGTAATCAGAATCGGTTTCAAAGAGAAAATAGTTTCTTTGTTTTAGTTTTACATAATTTTATGCAAGATGAAGACTAAAAGAAAAAGCCTTTTACTTTTCGTTTTTTAAATTTATACTCTTATAATTATTTATCGAGAAATAAAAAATTCTACAATTTAAGAGATTAATAAAAACTATTTTCGCAATTGCGATACGTCTATATTTAGCCATGCAACTGTTAATGGAAAATATTGGAATTACCGGAGACTAAGCGGATTTTTTCGAGGTAAGCTTCTACCTCCATCAGACGCCGATAAATCTTTTTTCGCAGGTTTATTCTAGGCCATTCTGTACATACATGTAACATTCTTGTAGATGTTGCACG